GGGCATAGGGTTGCCAACTCCAGGTTGGAAACTTCCAGGATAGTTTAGGAATGAAGCCTGCTGAGGGTGGGGTCTGAGGAGGAGGAGGAGGAAGAGAAAGAGGAGGACCTCAGACAGATACAATGCCATACTCCCCACCCTCCAAACAAGCTGTTGCCAGTCTCCAGGTGACAGCTGGAGAGCTCTTAAAGCTCTGGTGCTAATTCAAAGTGCTGCAATTTGTCGACAGAGTAGTGTTTTGGCAAATCTTTAGGAATTGTTTGGTGCATTTACGATGAGGCACCCACCCAGAGCCTCTGGCATTTTCTCACTCTGCTGGCATCAAAACCAATTTAAGGCAAAATAAGAGGCTACTGAGAGGGGAGGAGATAAAGTTGCCAGCTTTAGGTATGGAAATTCCTGGAGATTTGAGGAGTGGAGGCCGGAGAGGGGGACCTCAGACAGGTTACAGTGCCATAGACTCCACCCTCCAACCCAGCTATTTGCTCCTGGGGAACTATTGTTGCCAATCTTGGCCCAGCACCCATCAAACCATTCTCTTCAACCCCCTGCTGTGCAGCTGACTTTCCCCTAGGGTTGCCAATCTCCAGGTGGGACCTGGAGATCTCCCACTGCTACAATTGATCTCCAGATGACAGAGATCAGTTTCCCCTGGAGAAAATGGCTGCTTTGGAGGGTAGACCCTATGACATTATACCTGCTGAGTCCTTCCGCCCCCCCGCCCAATGCTGCCCTCTACAGAATCCACCCCCCAAACCTCCAGGTATTTCCCTCCTTATAGCTGGCAACCCTACTTTCCCCTCAGTGCCTGTTGGTAGGCAACTAAGCTTGGTCCTGTCACCTACTTTGGCCTTTGGGAGAAAACATATTGGGGCCAATCCTGATAGGGTTGCCAACTCCCGATGGGAAATTCCTGGAGATTTGAGGGATGGAGCCTGAAGAGGGTGAGGTTTGAGGAGGGGTGGGACCTCAGACAGGTACAATGCCATAGACTCCACCCTCCAAACCACTCAGTCCCTCATGGGGAACCATTGTTGCCAATCTCCAGGTGAGGGCTGGAGACCACTCAAAATTACAATTGCTCTGCAGAAGGGAGGGCGGAAGTCAGCTGAAGTCAAAGGGGCAGATAATGGTAGGTTGATGGTTAGCTGGGAAGGAGATGGGGTTGCCAACTCCAGGCTGGCAAATTCCTGGGGATTTGAGGGGTGGAGCCTGGAGAGGGTGGGGTTTGCGGAGGGGTGGGACCTCAGACAGGTAGAATGCCATAGACTCCACCCTCCAAACCAGCCATTTCATCCTGGGTAACAATTGTTGCCAAACTCCAGGTGAGGACTAGAGATCACTCAAAATTACAACTGCTCTTCAGGTAGCAGAGATCAGTTCCTCTGGAGAAAACAGTGGACTCTGTCATTATACGCTGCTGAGGTCACCACAGCAAACTGACACTGTTTGCCGAAAGCCAGAGCACTCTCCCAGAGCCTCTTTCTAGACCTCGTTGTATTTATTTCCACAACGGGCCTTATTTCTAGTAGGCTATAATGAAGCAGGAAAAATAGGGGGGGTTTGCACACCCCTATTATGCTTTCCAATATGATTTGTAAGATGCCTTGAGTCACAGTAAAAGTGAGATATAAATATTTGAATAAAGAAGTAGTTTGGGCAGGTTGATAACGTTTAAGCAGCTTCCTGTTTGTTTAGGCAGGGTTCTGACAATGATTGTTCCTGCTCTGTTATACTTGACCTGTAAATTTGTCATATTTCACTAAAAAAAACCCAAAGTAGACTGCAAGAGTCGTCCCCCCCCCCAAGTGCTGCTATGTTTTCTAAGGCTCAGTGCAGGGCGACAGTCCAAGGCCAGGTCTACCAATATGGTGGACTGGGGTGGGTAGACCTCTTCTCTGGAGGCCAGGTCTACCAATATAGTGGAAAGGGGCAGGTAGACCTGTTCTCTGGGGAGGGATTCGGGAGCGGGGACTCCTCCCGCAGCGAGCTATGTCGGCCGAGACAGGACCGGGGTCCACGGAGCAACCCCACAGAAGAGGAGAGGGGCGGAAGCTGCTTGTCCAACAGGCCAGGAGCGGTTGCGGAGCAGCGAATACTGCCGCAGATCAGCGCCGGCGGCGTGGCCCAGAGGCCACCAGAGCCAGTGGCAGCATATCAGCATTCGCCCGGGAGACGCCCCGCCGGTGTCCAGATAGATAAAGGAGGGCGTGGCCCAAGCTGGAGGGCAGATGGGCGGTCCTGGGAGTGGGGCGGGGAGATAAAAGGCAGGGTGGAGAAGGGGCCGGGGAGGAGGAGTGCGCTGTGGAATGCAGGAGGACACTGACCAGAGAGAGACAGAAAGACAGCAGAGAGAGGGGAAGGAAGTTCGCAGCGCACTGGCAGAGGGACTCCATGGGTGACATTAACCCTGTCCCCTGCCTATCTGAGGCCCCTCACTCCCTCTCCCTTTTTGGACCCCGCCGCTCCAAGGGCCATCTCCCCTGCCGGAGTCTGTCTGAGACCCTGACGCCACGCGGCCACTGGGGGCGCCGCACCGACGTCTAAGGGCGAGCCCGACAGTCTTCTAAGAAACTAATTTATGTGCTAGTCAAATGTAGACTCGCTCACAAGTTTAATGCTACTAGCTTTTTTCACTGATGGTAGAATTTTTGCTCACAACACTGTGGAGCTTAGATAGAACATAAAGAATGTTCCATTTTTTAAAGTGCTAGTCTGCAGCATAACTTCCATGTTTGTGACAGTGTAACTGCAGATGACAGGTGGTTTAAGAGGCGGTGAGAAAGACTAGTTCATGACGCCATTTGATTTCTTTGTTCAGTGTGATGATGCTCCTGAAAATTCTCTTGAAGAGGTGTGTCTGTCATTGCCCTTCCTCCGAGGAATGGATGGCAGTGTGTGTGCTTCTTCCTTCCTACCTATTGTCCTCACAACAGCCCTGTGAGGTAGGCTAGGCTGAGAGAGTGCAAGGGGCCTTGGGTCGTCCAGAGAGCTTCAAGGTATCATTGGGATTTGAGCCTGCATCTCCCAGCTTCTAGTCCAGCAGTTAAACCTGACACCGTTCTTCAGAGGACAAACAGATTTTTTTTCTTTTTTTCTGTCAAGGTGGGCCTGGGTGAAAGCTTATTAGAAGCAGAAAACATTGAAGACCAAGAATCACCTGTCAATTGCTACAGGAAGTTATTTGGTAAGACTATACATCTCATTGGAATACTAAAAGGTAGAATGTGGCTCTGGTTTGATATATGCAAGCCTGTAAAAGTGCTTTATGGAAGTTTTAACTAACCATATATTGGTGAAACCCTCGGTGGATTTGTCTTTGCTGAAATGGGGGATAACCTGTCCTGTATTGTATAAAATGTTGGTTTTAATGGTAAATGTGTATAGATTGGGGGCCCTTCTGCTTCCAGCTGGTTTATTTTAAAAAAAATTAAATTATTTTATATGACTTACAGTGTAGCAAAATGTGTAACAGAAGTATAGTTGTTTTATTGTATCTCGATTTTACTAAGGGGATGAAAACAGATTTGTTCTCAACAAAGAATCCTTTCTTAAGGTGGCTTTCTTGTAATGTTGCGTGATGTAGGTTTTGGCAGAAGCAGAAGCGCCCTGTGTTTCCTTGAGCAGTTTGCTTCTAGTTCCTGAGCGTGACTCATTTGAGAGCAGCTTTAAATTCAGTAGATGGAAAGAAGTCGTCTGGGATACCGAATAAACTAAGCTTGATAGAAAATGTAATGTATTTTTAAAATAATTACTGGGAGAATTTTTCTCCCTTTACAACCATAGAACATTTATTATTTTTACAGACAGACACACACATGCACGCGCGCACTAGGAATAAGGTCCGTTGTGGAAATAAATACAGCGAGCTCTAAAAAGAAGCTGTGAGCATGTGCCTCGGGCTTGGGCACTCAGCGTCAGTTTGCTGTGGCAACCTCAGCAGGGAATAATGACACAGAGTCCACCGTTTTCTCTAGGGGAACTGATTTCTGCCACCTGAAGAGCAGTTGTAATTCTGAGTGATCTCCAGCTCTCATCTGGAGATTGGCTACAGTCATTCCCCAGGAGGAAATTGCTGGTTTGGAGGGTGGAGTCTATGGCATTGTACCAGTCTGAGGTCCCACCCCCAGCCTCTCCAGGCTCCACCCTTCAAATCCCCAGGAAAAATCGGAAAAAACCATAGAAACAACAGATTGTGTTGGCCTAGATTAAATTAAGCAGATGCATACTGTTTTTCTTAATTTGCATAATTCAACTGAATAGCAGGTTTAGTTCCTTTAGATGAAAGCTGGGGTTCTTTGGAAGCTGGATTCTGTGGGTAATAATATCATGCACCTCTATGAAAAGCTGCATTTTGACCATATGTTTCGTCACAAATGAAGGAGGAAGGAAGCAACAGAAGTCCAGATGGAGCAGAAAGGGGGGATACCTCGGGAAGTGCAGCAAAGAGTTCATAACTGAAAATAGCTCTTGATATCCAAAAACCAAGCCAGTTTTTGATCACATGCTTGTTTGCTAGCCAGTCAGCTTTGCAGCGTTAGGATGTATTTTATACTGTGAAGGTGTCTACAAATGCATCAAGAGGTAAAAGCCCTTTTCAAAAGCCAGACTCACTGAAGGAGTCTACTGAGTGCTGCTGCAATAAAAGTTCTCCTGCTGCCGTACCATAACAAACCCCATCCATCCTTCTCATCTATAAAACATACCCAGCACGATCAACTAGTTAATGTTGTTTGCGGTATTGTTGGGAAGGAAGGTGTGTTGAGGGTGCTGGTGGCAGGTGGGGATGAGGGGGGGGGGAGGGAGATGAATAGACCTGAAACAAAGTATGTATTTTAAATAAAATAAATAAATATTTTGGAGAAGAGGGCACTGGAAACAAAACACATAAAGCTGCCTTATACTGAATCATCATTGGCCAAACAGAGCCAGTATTGTCGACTCAGACTGGAAGTGGCTTTCCATAAGAACTTAAGGAGAGCCCTGCTGGGTCAGACCAGTGAGGATCCATCTAGTCCAGCATCCTGTCTCACACAGGGGCCAACTAGTTCCTCTGGAGGGCCAAGAACAGGGCACAGAGGCTGAGGCCTTCCCCTGATGTTGTCTCCGGGCTCTGGGATCCAGAGATTTAGTGCCACTGAATGTGGAGGTTCCCCTCAGTCACCATGGCTAGTCGCCATTGATAGACTTACCCTCTATCAATCTACTCCCCTTTTAAAGCTGTTTATCCTGTGGCCATCACTACATCGCTGGAGCAAATTCCACATTTTAATCACTGTGCAAAGAAGAATTTCCTTTTTGTCCATCCTGCACCTCCTGCCCATCACTTTCATTGGCTGCTCTTGACTCTTCAGCCTTTCCTCCTAGGGAAGTTACTCCCACCCCCTGATTATCTTGGTTGCCCTCCTCTGTACACAGTATTCCAAATGAAGCCACACCATAGATCTATACAGGGGCGTTACAATATTGGTTGTTATATTCGCAATCCTTTTTCTGATAATCCCGAATTGGAGCCCCATCTGGGTTAGTGCTTTCAATACCCAGCTTGAGCAAATCTAGGCAACGTTTTTACGCCGTATTTTAGGGGTCCCTAATTGTGTTAGCTATGCTACAATGTGTTTAGGGACTGGGATGCATCTGCTAGAGACTAGGGCATGGCTATTAGCCTTAAAGTTTTGGCTACGCCTACACTTCAGGGCAAAACCTGCTAGCTTCATTCATATGATGCTGGCTGATTCCTTTGTTTCCAATTGGTATAGTCTGATCCAGAAGAAAATACACTCTATAGGTGTTTCTTTGGACAACCTCTGTATGCTAAGTGAAATGCAGGCATTCAGAATCTTGAAACAGGATTTTAGATATTGAGAAACAGACTTTCTGCTCTCTTGAACACAAAACTTGCCCCCCTTTGGCATTTGGTATCTTCCCAGACTGTGGACTACCTGCTGCCTACTTCTCCCAGATTACCTCACCGCAGTTACGCTGCTCTTTTAGCTAGACTTCATGTTTTACCTTCAGCGGTACTGTCTGGGAGGCTTACCAACATTCCCTATCAAGAAAGATTTATTTGTTTAAAAAAAAAAAAGAAAGATTTTGTCCCTGCAAAGGAATGCACCTTGAAACGGTAGCCCATGTTATATTTCATTGTGATTTCTATGGGGAAGTGTGGGATTGTATAATTAAACCTATTGTGTCTAACTGCCACAGTTTTTCTGAGGCGAAGTTAGTATCTTTCTTATTATCTGACCGATGTCCCCATATTACAAGTTTAGTTGCAAGGTACCTTTTGGCTGCCATAATAATCAGGAAGCAAAAGATTAGCTCTTCAATCTGATGTTTGACAGATTTTATAATTCAAATTCTCTGTAAACTTGCCTTGTGGTATTCTGCTTTTCTTTTATGCCAATAAAGGTATTTGGATTTGGATAATCCCGAATATAGAGCTTGCCTTTTTCAACTGCTACAACGCGATCTTGGGGAGGGAAAGAAAGGCATTGTAAACATGGCCCCCTTCCCCTTTCCAGGGCTTCTCTGCAATAGCAGAGAGGCCCAGGGAGGGAAGGGGGCATGTTTGCCTGACTGCCCTTGGTCTCCCCCCCCCCAACCAACCCAAGGCGCACAGGGTGGGGAGGCCAAGGGCAGCCAGACAAACATGCCTGCTTCCCTCCCTGATCTTCTCCAAGTGCCCTGCAGGCAAGATCGGGGAGGGAAAGAAAGGCATTGTAGACATGCCTGGGGTCCCTGCCTGCCCTTCTCCAGCCACAATCTGTCAGCTAGAGAAGAGAAGGCAGAGAGCCAGGCTGTCCCTTGTCAATTTCACTCCCAGCTGACTAGCCCAGAGTGAAATTGACAGGGAGATCTGTAGGGTCTACCAGAGGGAAAGGAGGCATTCTAACATGCCTCTTTTCCCTTGGGTGATTTAAATCGGACCCAAATATATTCAGGAATACCGGATTTAGCCCCAATCCGAATGTTACTGGGGAAATTCGGCATTTACTGATATTTTTAGGGTCTGATTTACCCGAACCCGAAAAATACTAGCATTTTTTTTTGCACACTCCTAGTTCTAACATATTTATTACCTATGTTGTTCCCCCCTGCCCAGTTGAACCCAAACAGATGATAACACGAAAGCTCATGCCTTGAATAAAACGTTGTTGGCCTTAAAGCTGTCATTGGACTCTAACTTTGTTCAGTAGTTTAGCAGTGTAGGAATGGCAAAAAACAAAAACCCACTCACCTTCCCAGCAGCTTTCTCCTGTGTTCTTTCTCCCAGTCCAGCTGGATCAGTTCAGCCTCCAGGGTGGAGTCTTTCACATCACCTGCTACCTGGTCCATTTTAACTAGAGATGCCGGGGATTGAACCTGGGACCTTCTGCATGCAAAGCAGAGGCTCTGCCACTGAGCCACAGTCCCCATCCATAGCTCTCCAGGGTCTCGGGTAGAGGTCTTTCACATCACCTCCTGCTTGGTCCTTTTAACTGGAGATGCCAGGGATTGAACCTGGGACCTTCTGCATGCAAAACAGAGGCTCTGCCACTGAGCCAGGGTCTCTGCCCACACATGTGAGTTGAAAGTATATATGTTACTTTTAGACTGGGAACTTCCTGGAACAGAGATAAAGATGACTTTGACAGTATTGGACACCTGGGGGACAGAAATGTAGTGAGCAAGAAAACCTTAGTTCAGGGGTGTCGAACTCGTTTCTTATGAGGGCCGGATCTGACACAAATGAGACCTTGTTGGGCCGGGCTGTGTGTCATAAAATGTAATCCCAGGTAGCGGAGATATAAACTTTATAAAGGACACAAACACAAAGGTTTTTTTAAACTTAAAATAAAAACATGTTTAAGGCATTAGCACTCTTGCAATATTTTGTTTATTTAACAGTGTCTGATAACTGACACCTCTTGCTCTGAATTATTGCATCAAACATACACATACATACATTTTGCGAATGTCTGTGCTGTTGCAATCTTGAGTATGCTGTTCGGGTGTGTATCTGTAAGCTGCAAACCTACAATGACGCAGCAGCAGCAGAACTGGAAGAAGAGGCAGAAGGCAGCCAGTTCCACTGTGGGCCTTATAGAAGCCCTTCGGGGGCCTGATCCGGTCCCTGGGCCACATGTTTAACACCCCTGCCTTAGTTAATCGTATGTGTCAATGACATTTGTTTTCCTTTGCATGTGAACAGAACAGCAGTGGTGCTTTTAGATCGTGGCCATGTGAAGCACTTCCTCGGGGAGGCACTCTCATCTGCACCAGGAGAGGCGTGTGCCTTTCCTAAGATGGCGCTGGGTCACCTGAGCATTTGGAAAGTGTGGTTCTCTAAAAATTATTGATCTAATCTCTTGCGAACAGGAATTCAAAGCAGCTGGATATTAATGCCTATATGTGCTTATTCAAACACGCCTGAAAATTTCCTCTCTCTTAAATATGGTCTTATGTTAAGGCAAGTGCTTTGTCTGATTTTTGTTTTATCCCTTTCAGTCTGTGATGTGCTTCCCTTAATAATTAACAACCCAGATGTGCGGCTCCCTGCTGCCTTATTATATAAGTACTTGAACAAAGCTGCAGAATTTTACATTAATTACGTGACAAGATCAACACAGGTGGAAAGCCAGTATCAAGGTAAAAGCCCCAGGGCCCAATGCAAGGGCGTGTGAGGAAAAGGCCATTGTGGGCCTCAGAATTGCATGTAGCATTTTGTTCTGTTGCTTGGCTAGGAACAAGAAGCTATTTCATTGTGGCTTCTGATTTTTAGCTTTTGAAGAACTCCTGTTTTAATGAAGCTTCCTGTCACCCATCCACAAAATGTAAATGATTAACTCCATCTTGCAAAGAAATGTGGCCATGCTTAAAGAACATCCAGCATTTGTTATAAGTGGTGTGATTGTGCCACATTCGTCTAGCTACTGCTGCCCAGTTGGCTTGCTCCATGCTGTCCTCTAGTGGCGGATTATGTTATGTGTTGTGTGTGGTGCTACACAGCGCAAGCTGTAGCGATCCCAGCCCCTAGGGCAATGCAGTCTGAAATTTGAAGGAGGGGAGATGGGGTTGCCAACTCCAGGTGAGAAATTCCTGGAGATTTGAAGGATGGAACCTGGAGAGATACTGTTTGTTTCCCTTTGCAGCGTCACCTCTGCCATCGCTCCCCCCCCCCCCAAACTGGGCTTCAGACCGGGTTTCCCAGTCAAAGGCAGGGGAGATATGGCTGGGCAGAGTGACAGCGGAGGAGGAAGGAGGAGGAGGAGAGAAACCCCGCCCTTCCCTCAGAGCGGCTCACAGTCTCCTTCCCTTCCCCTCCCCACAACAGACACCCTGTGAGGTCGGTGGGGCTGAGAGAACTCCGAGATAATGGTTCTTGAGAGAACAGCTCTGAGAGAGCTGTGACTGACCCAAGGCCACCCAACTGGCTGCATGTGGAGGAGTGGGGAATCAAACCCAGTTCTCCAGATTAGAGTCTGCTGCTTTGAACCACTACACTGAACTGGCTTAATCACTACACCAAACTGGAGTGGTGGATGTTAAGCATCGTCCTTTCCTGCCCACCGAATGGCTGCGCTCTGGCTGTTCTGTGTGTAGGTGCAACAAACTAGTAATTTAGCTATAACTACCTTCTTTGAGAGGTTGTCTGTGTAGTCCCATGTACAGGTTCTGTGCCAATGTCCCTAAAGTTCTCGCCAAGGGAAGCATTTTGCCTCTTGGCATGCGCTTTGAGAGGAGGGGGCAGTGCCTTCCTGCCTTGGAAGATTCCACAGTGCGTCAGGACACCCACTTTCTCATTTGCTTACCTGCCCATCTTATGCCTGGGCATAATGTAGCAGTCCAGGCACCTTCTGTATTGTGTGCGCGTGTACATGTGCAAAGTAAGATGTGACTTGTCGCAAGAGCAGTGTGCGAGAAGGGGCTTCTGGTGACACAAGACCCCCCCTCCCTTTGGTTCCTAGGTGCACAGGACGCGCCTGACCTCTTGTCCCCCAGCAAGCGGAACTCCCAGAAATACGTCATAGAGGGGCTGACCGAGAAATCCTCTCAGATAACGGATCCCTGGGAACAGGTGTTCAAGATACTGTCTGTTGTGGGAGTCAGATGTGAATGGCAGATGGATCTGTCAAGAAGGTTGGGTTATAACTGTGTCTTACCATCACTGTCTGATGTAATTAAAGAACTGGGTCTTTGTTCTCCTTGCAAGAAAAGAACACACCGATAAAAATGGGACACCTCTGGTTTGAATTCTTTTTACATCTTGGAGATAATTGACCCAATCTGGCTGTAGCCTCAGGTGGCTCAAGATGTGTTTGCTCATCTCCAGTATTGTTATACAAATAAATTCCCAGTCAAAAATTGGAGTCAAAATGAGGAGGAAGATCTTAGTGTTTTAATTGCAATCAAAACACCTGAAAACAGTTAGGCCAGACAAGCCTATCAAAAATTGACTGCTTTCTGAGTACAATCAGGAAATACATGAAGTTTTATACTTTAAATGACATCATCGTGACATTATAATGAAAATAACATCCGAAAAGCATAATTGGTTACAAAGAATTACACATAATTTGAATAAAACTCTCCTTATTGGTCAAATGTAAAGAGAGGTGTGGTTACATAATATCTAAATGTTTACTTAACCTAACCTGAATAATATTTTCCAAGGATTTTCTATACCCCAAACAAAAGTGTTTTCCCCCGATACGAAGCTAAAGTCCTTTTTGACCTAGACACAGCAAAGTTTTCCCCTAAACAATTGAAAACCATGAACTTTATACCTGTCTTCTATACCAAAAGAATATTATTGTCTTGTCTGCTAACATCAGCTAGAAAATTAATCTAACTTACAAGGGGAAGGTCTACTATTTAACAGGCCTTCATTACATCCTTAGAAAATCTTAGGAGAAAAATCTATAAAACCAGAAAAATATGAATAATCAAAAGAGAAAAAAATCTTTATAATCTCATCTATACTACAGTATGGAATGATATAGGACCGACTGGCTCCATTGGGCCTCTGCGCGTGAAGGGCCACTGCTGACTTCTGGTTGACCCTGTGGATTCATGATGTCCTCTCGCTCACAGCCTTGCCTCAGGCCTTGCAAACGGAGGCTTCCTCTTGATGGAGTCCGTCCCTCTCCTGTTGGTGGGTCGTCCTCTCTTCCTGCCGCCTTCCGTTCCTCCCGGCATGACTGTCTCTTCCAGTGGGGCTTGTCTCCTCGGCTTTGTCATTTTAGCTTCTGGAAAGAGCGAAGGCTTGATTTGATCTAGAACCCACTGATTTGCCTTTTGGGCAGTCCACACGGTATCCGCGAGACTCTCCTCCAACACAGCATTTCAAAGGAGTCCACTTTCTTCCTGTCACTGTTCTTCATTTCCAACTCTCACACCCCTACATAGTCGTGGGGAATACCTGCGGCATGAACTAACTTGATCTTGGTCACCAACGACATACCCGTAACACTTAGAATCATGGAATCGGAGAGCTGAAAGGGGCCACACAGGCCATCTAGTCCAACCCCCTGCTCAGTGCGGGATCTGCCTAGGGCAGGGGTGTCGAACTCATTTGTTATGAGGACCGGATCTGACATACATGAGACCTTGTTGGGCCGGGCCATGTGTGTCATAAAATGTAATGCCAGGTAGCGGAGATATAAACTTTACAAAGGACACAAACACAAAGTGGTTTTTTTTTAAACTTAAAATAAAAACATGTTTAAGGCATTAGCACTCTTGCAATATTTTGTTTATTTAACAGTGTCTGATAACTGACACCTTTTGCTCTGAATTATTGCATCAAAATGTCTGTGCTGTTGGCAATCTTGAGTCTGCTGTTCAGGTGTGTATCTGCAAGCTGCAAACCTACGATGACGCAGCAGCAGCAGAACTGGAAGCAGAAGCAGAAGACAGCCAGTTCCCCTGCCGGCTACATGTCTGATACCCCTGGTCTAGAGCATCCCTATTTGTCCGGCCGCTGCTTAAAGACTGCCAGTGAGATGGAGCTCACCACCTCCCCAGGCAGCTCATTCCACTGTGGCACAACTCTGACTGTCAAAATGTTTTTCCTACGATCCAGCTGGTACCTTCCCACCCTTAATTTAAACCCATGATTGTGGGTCCTCCCCTCTGCTGCCCACTGGAACAGCTCCCTGCCCTTCAGATACTCCAGGAGAGCCATCCTGTCCCCCCTCCGCCTCCTCTTCTGCAGACTGAACACTCCCAAGTCATCAGCAGCATCCCCTCGATCCAGTAAGCTTTTGTTACTCAGTCAAAGAAGGAAATGCTGTCGTGTTACATAAAAATCTTCACATTTCGCTAATCCCAAAGAGAAATTATTTCAAAGCCCCCC